TTTTTTTTTTTTTTTACTATAATCTTTAATAATCTTTAATATTCTTTAATATGATTGATTCTTTTAATATACCCTAATTTTTTATTAAAAAATTTTTTTTAAAAAAAAACCTAATTTATTTTAATATTTAATATACCCGAAAAATTTTAATATTAAATTTTTAATATTAAACTATTTTTTTTTTGATATACTCGAAATTTTGAAATCGTTTACATTCGAATTCGAATTTTATACATAAAAAAATTTCGATATACATAATTTACATGAATTTCCAATATACATGAATTTTTTAAAAAATGTTTTTTTTTTTTTTTTTGTTGGTGTCAAAAACAGAGACAATGCCGCACTCGATGGCTTCAAATAAAAAATAAATTATCGAAACTTAAGAACAACGAAAGTAACGTCATTATGTCTGTTACTCCGACCGTGCAATCGTGTGATATAAATCCCATATTAACCCCACCAATCACACCGTCAAACGCAGCTCAACAAATTAAAGTTGTTCAAGCAATGCAACAAAATACTGGATCTTTCGGTCTAACAAATATTGCCTTATTCGAAGCCAATGAAAATCCGGTTGCCATGTTTCCTAGTCCGATCACACCGGGTTTTCCTATTAACGTTAATGTATCAACGGAAAATTTATTTTCAAATTACACCACCAATCCTCTCGACAATCAAATCACTTACCATAATTCACCGGAGACTGCACTCTGTTTTTATAACGTTTATAATAACAGTAGTAACGCGTATATTAATCTTATTCAACAATAAATAAGAAAAAAAAAAATAACAAGGAAAAAAAAAACATTAAGAATTTTAAAAATTATGATAATCATAAGAACGGGAAAAGAAAAGCTTAAGAAATATCTTAAGACATAAGTAATGCACATATATATATATACATATGAAAAAAAAAACTTATGGACTCTCCCCAGCATATAGCTATTTAGCTAGCATATATGATTTATGGCATATTTATTTTGTAAGGGCATATAAGACTTAATTATGATTCCTTCTCCTCCATCGACTCCAATTTTCATCGTTTAAATACTTACTTGATTTTTCACAAGAAACAAGAAATCATACAATTCAGAATGGTTGTATGATATGTGTACCATAACAAAAAAAAAGAGAAGAATAAACAAAAAAACACCGCACCGGCTGTGTTTTTTTTTATGGCTTTTTTGAACATGACAAATTACCACATGTTTTTCTTTGATGAACTCTGGTAAATGATTTTATTGGCTTTTAATCTCACCTGATGTTTTTGTGGCCTTCGAAAGGGTTGCCAATAGCTAAAAGATTTAACTTAATTTAACCAGTTGCAATAAAGATTTTCTCAATTTAACCAGTTGTGATAAAGCTTGAGTATGCATGTGGTTGTGCTTTCTTCGTTTCGTTGTAGTGAAAATCGTCCTTGAAAAATTGTCTTACGTATCACGCCAAGCACGCGGTTATTGAACAAACAATGAGCATTCATGCTGATTACACAGCTTTATTATTTTATCAAAACAATTTTTAAACACATAGTACGAACTCTAATTATTTCTACTTTAAAATGTTTAAATGCATTTCAGGATAGTTTCGAAATTCCCCTAACCCCGTGTTTCAGATTGAAGTATTGTCAAAGTTGTTTGTTCTCAACCTTTTTTTAATCAATCAATCAATAACCGTTTTTTTTTTCTCTGAATTTTTTCCATTTCTTAATATTTTCTTAAAAACTTTTAAAATATTTTTCTTCTCGAAAGAAGACCAAAATATTTTCGTATATATGATCCTCGTGCTCAATCAAAGAACCAGTCAAAAGTTGTCTTTTACCCTTAATATTTTTTTTTCTTTATCAATTGTGCGATTTTTCCTGTTTTTGTTACTTGTGTAGGACAGAAAAAAACCTCAATTAGGAATTCGATATATCAATGAGATCGCAAAAACTTGTTCCTATTGGTTATTCTAAAAATATTCCAGGTGTATACACTACGAAATTCTTTAAAATAAATGTTTAGAGAGAAAGTTGCTAAACATGTAGTGGTTGCATTTTGCATAAAAAGAACGGATTAAATGATATTGTTGCAATTTGGATCATGCGGTCAACTTTTTAACACTAAAAATGGTGATTACCGAATAGATATCGTAAGCAATGGGGCATTCATGATTAT